GGGGTTTTTTTCTGGAGCATTCCCATCCAGATAAAACAATGAACTTGTTTAATGTCCAAAGACTTAAATAAGCCAAATATAAATTGCCAGTACAGGCTCTGGGAGATGGAAATTTCTTTGCTAATAATTAGAAATGCCTGATTTAAATAATGATAATACTTGTCACTTAATGTGCAGAATACAGGTTTAATAGATGGCGTGTGTTTCACAGTAGCAAAATTGTGGAGATTATTAAAAATGTGCAGTTACAAAGAGTAACCCTAATGACTTTGATCCTGAAGGGACTTCAGCAGACCGTCCCCTTTTCTCTCTCTTCGTTCCCTCATTCGGTATTATTTGAATAAGCATACCCAGTCCTGGATCAGGTATAACCTATTAAGCAAGTAGACAAAAGAAAGTCTCAGAGAAGTCGCCGTCCCAGCGTGTAACATTAAAAACAACAAACAGTCCTGTGGCACCTTTGAGATGAACAAAAATAAATAGGATTAGAGAATCATAGATCATATGATACTAGGACTGGAAGGGACCTCAAGAGGTCATCGAGTGCAGTCCCCAACCCCCATGCCAGGACCAAATACTGTCTAGACCATCCCTGATAGACATTTATCTAACCTACTCTTAAATATCTCCAGAGATGGAGATTCCACAACCTTCCTGGGCAATTTATTCCAGTGTTTGATTATGAGCTTTCATGGATAAGATCCACTTCATCAGATGAGCTGGAGTGGAAATAACTGAATACAAGATATATAAAACAGAAAAAGCAGTTACCTGTCCATTGTAGGACCTACGTTAATGAAGCTAATTAAGGAGGCTTGATGTATCCCATTCATAACTTTTGATATGTGGATGTCAAAGGCAGGGCAAATTGGCTTTGTCGTGCATTCACCAGTTGATGTCTTTATTCAAGCTGAGGGTAACAGCGTCAAATTTTGCAGATGAATTCCAATTCTGCATTCGCTCTCTGTAATAGGGTGGTGAAATTCCTTTGTGGAAGAATGGCTACTTTTAAATCCATTAATAAGTGCCCAGGCAGGTTAAAATGTTCCCCTATGGGTTTATGTCTGTTACCATGGATCATCTCTGACCCAAAGATTTTATAGTGTAACTATAAGATGAGTTACAATTGGTAGATACAGACAGATAAAAGAGAAAAACACAAGGAAACAATAAGGCTGTGTCTAGACTGGCAAGTTTTTCTGCAAAATCATGTGATTTTGCGGAAAAGCTTGCCAGCTGTCTACACTGGCCGCTTGAATTTCCACAAGAACACTGACGATCTCATGTAAGATCGTCAGTGTTCTTGAGGAAATACTGTGCTGCTCCCGTTTGGGCAAATGTCTTTTTCCAAAAGACTTTTGCGCAAAAGGGCCAGTGTAGACAGCATAGTACTGTTTTCCACAAAAAAGCAATGGCAATCGGGGCTTTTTTGTGGAAAAGCGCGTCTAGATTGGCATGGACGTTTTTTCTGCTAAAAGTGCTTTTGCGGAAAAGCATCCTGCCAATCTAGATGTTCTTTTCCGAAAATGCTTTTAACGGAAAACTTTTCCGTTAAAAGCATTTTCGGAAAATCATGCCAGTGTAGACATAGCCTAAGTGATTATGGTCGGCATTGTAAGCAGTGGTCACAGTTTAGCTCAGCCTGTGTTGGCATGATCATGATTTGATATCAGCTCCCAAAATCCAGTGAAGAAGTTGAGAATTGAAGAATTATCTGAAAATGGAAGCAGAGGACAAAACCATGGGAATATGAAGGCTTACAGTGAAAAATTTATTTTAAAAGGTTCAATCCAGGAAAATACATAAAGATGCCTTTACAAGGCACGATATTATAATACTAGATGGGCAGGGCCACACTGATGCCTTTCATCAGCATATCGAGACAGTCTCAAGTATAGGTTGAACCTCTCTAGTCTGGCAACATCCAGGGTCCAGCATGATTTTAGTTACCTGGATGCCCACTTATCATAGGTGTGACCAAATTCCCTGCAGTCCGATAAAGTTTGTTAACAACCAAGGCAGTCAGTGTTCTGTGCTCTTGGTTAACTCTAATTTATCTCTAAATGTATTTTAAGAGCCCAGCAAGCAGTAGAAGTTTTGATAATGCTGCTAGATAATATTGACCTCCCATAGTCCGGCAAATTTTCTGGTTTGGCACCTGACAAGTCCCGAGGGTGTTGGACTAGAGAGGTTCACCCTTTAGTTGTAGGTTATGGCAATGTGTTTTGGTGTATTTTCCATGTATTTAAATATAAACCAGTATCCTTAGTCATCTATTGCTCATTTTTTGCAGCTGCTGAACTGAAAAAAATACCAAGGACAAAGGAAAAATGGTCTAGATAGTCATTATAATTCTAGTATACATAAACAAGTGCCCACTAAGCCCCCTATGTTACCTTAAAAGTGAAAGAACCTGTTATCAATTTACACAATTATTTGTTGCATGATCATATTTCTTTATTCACATTTTAGGTGGCAAAAGTAATGTGGCAGCAACATGGTGTGTGCCCCAAAGATGAATCCCCAATATTGTATCCTGCAGCACCTGAGAATGGGCATCTAAAGGGTTAATTATGCACTTGCATCCTAGGAAATAGATGACCATTTGTAGGTTTAAACCCCAGGAAATTCTATTGATTCTTAAAGGTGAAGATGACAGAACAGCCTTTTTGATTAGCAACCTCACGTCCAATTAGCGTTGTGAGTCTTCTAACCCAAACAGGTTAGAAAGAGACAATGGCCAATGACAATCTCACCGGGGTGACGGAGTTCATTCTGATCGGAATCACAGATCACCCAGAGCTCCAAGTCCCGCTTTTCTTGTTGTTCCTAGTGATCTATGTTGTCACCCTGATAGGCAATATCGGGATGATCATCTTAATCATTGTTGACCATCGACTTCACACCCCCATGTACTTTTTCCTTAGCCATTTGGCTTTTGTGGATCTCTGTTATTCCTCCACCGTCACCCCCAAAATGCTGGTGAACTTCTTAGCAGAGAGTAAAACAATTTCTTACTATGCCTGCGCCACACAGCTGGGCTGCTTCCTGACATTTATGATCACGGAGTGTTTCCTCCTGGCTGGGATGGCATATGACCGTTACGTGGCCATCTGTAACCCGCTGCTTTACAAGGTCATCATGTCCCAGAAGGTCTGTGTCCAGCTGGTTGCTGGACCCTACATATACAGCTTCTGTGTTGCCCTGTTCCACACCATTCTTACCTTCCGTTTATCCTTTTGTTCCTCCAATATGATCAACCATTTCTACTGCGACGATATGCCCTTGCTGGCGCTCTCCTGCTCTAATACCTATCTCAAACAGGTGTTGATCTTTGCCTTTGCTGGCTTCGATATGATTGCCTCCTCCCTGATCGTCCTGATCTCCTATCTGTTTATCTTCTCCACCATCCTGCGGATCCGCTCCGCCGAGGGGAGGCACAAGGCCTTCTCCACCTGCGCTTCCCACATAACGGCCGTCACCATCTTCTACGGGACATTGATCTACATGTATTTGCAACCCAGCTCCAACCACTCACTAGATACGGACAAAGTGGCCTCCGTGTTCTACACGGTGGTGATCCCCATGCTGAACCCCCTCATCTACAGCTTGAGGAACAGGGAGGTGAAGGACGCCCTGAGGAAGGTCATGTATAAAAAGTGTTGGCGTTTTAAATTAAATCAATTCACCAGCTAATAGGTGGTTAGCCAACAAAAACTGATGGACAATAGGAAGCACGTTCTCTTTGTTTTCATCATTTGATAAGCCAATTTTACGCAGTAGTCCATCTTTTCTCACTGCTCTTGCTGTCAAGTTAGAACAGGGACTTTGTGTTGCAAGGGCTGAGCAATGTGGCTGATGCTTCAGTGCTCTTACTGGTGCTAGCGCTGCTGTTCTTTGAGCACCAGTGTCAGGCGCATGAGTGCACAGTGCAACATGTTAACTCAGCAGATTTTAATCTACTATATATTTTGGAGAGCTTGTCTGTCTGTTCAAGAACTCCTTCTAAATGGTAAGAGTTAGGCCCACCAATTTCAGTAGGCAGCTTCCTTTTGTCCTAACTTAAAGCAAGATGAGGGTTGCTTGTGCCAGGAAAACAGGATGTGCCTGGAATGGGACCGCATCTCAGAAAATCAGACAGAAAAGAGACAGAATCGCCGAAGTTAATACAGTCCTCAAAACTGACATAACTGAGAGAATGTTAAAAGAGACTGATCCAAGATGAGCCAGCAAAATAGGATGAACCTGGAATAAGATTTATCTCTTTGTGTCAAGGTCTATTGAGAAGCAAACAGAGAAATCTGGCATAGTGCGGTCTACTGAGAAGCAAACAGAGAAATCTGGCATAGTGCTCTGTTTTGACACAGCTAAATCAACGCTTTAGGTTTGAAGACTAGAAGAAAATGTTATTGGAAACCAAATTGACTATCGCACTTTTTGTTAAAACTTAGCAAATGATAAGAGTTTAGGGGGATGAAGAAAAAACTACACTTGATGGAATTCCTATTTTCAAAAATGTGTTTAAAAAAATTAAACAGAAAAATTCATCACTCCCCTTTTTAAGATCTCCAAAATAAAAATGAACTTCATCAAAATAGCACTGTATTTTTGAAAAGTGTGATCATTTCAATTAAGCATGTACATTTTCCCTTTATTTTCCAAAATAACCCCCAGCCCTTACTAGAGTTAAGGACCCAAGCAACACCAGGTAAACCTGCTAGTTATTCCATATGCTCAGGTCACTGGTGAAGGCACTTGGCACAAAGCACAGAACTAGCTCTCCATAGGAGCCACAGATACATTAAGACAAGTTACCAGCTCAGTCAGCTCACCAGGTGCTGTCCCCTTGGCTGAACACAGATGCAACTCCTGTGTCTTCTCTTGTTTTAGACAAGTTACGTGTTACACTCCAGACTTTGTCAGTTACCACCGTTCTTCCTGTACCCTCTAGTTCTACCAAAACATCCTTACCCATTGTCCTGTCATCCCACCCGGATCGTAGGCAGGTTTGGTGTGTTCCCAAACAATCTCTTAGTAAAAACTTAAGAAACAACAAAGAGTGTAGTAGCACCTTAAAGACTAACAAGACATGTAGATGGTATCATGAACTTTCGTGGGTGCAACCCGTTTCACTTAGTAATTTGTTTATGTAGCTACTTGAGAGATCGGTGTGGTTTTGTACCATCTTCTCCTGTCAAGAATGTCTTTATCTGGTGTCAGCTGGCATTGTTCCCTCTAATCTTTTCCATCCATGTGCAGAATAATTTTTTATGTGCACCAAGGCATGTGTGACTGTGCACCCGCAATAGAAACACAAACCTAGCAGTGGGCTTGTGGGTTTGTATCTCCCCTGAGGGATTGCACAAGCAGGGAATACTGTTGGTTTCTTGCATGTTATTTTGCCAATGACGGGTCTGCTCTTATGGCTAGGGCTCTAGTGAGGTCTACATGGCGTGTGACGATTTCGGGAATCTGAGTGCAGCTTATGAATTTTGGTTGCTCTTATGAAGTTATTACCATGAAAACTGCTGCATCAGAAACGTGTCCACTGTTCCTGACAAGGCATTTAAACATGTCCCTTGCAGAACAGGGAGAATTGTTGGTGGCCCTTAGAACTCAGCACCCATCACTTCAGATCAGCTGGTTTGCTTGGGGTAAAGTGGATAGTCAGAAATCTGGCTGGAGGTGCAGAGGTGTGGCTGAAAGGTGCCATGTGTGAGAATCCTCAAGGGGCAGGGAAATGGAGGACACATTTCCTCCTCTTGCTCTGAGGGGGACATGGCAAGTGAGAAATTCCCTAAACAGGACAAAAAGACCAAGTGGCAGGCTGAAAAGGACTCAGTGGGGGAAGGGTCAGAGAGAGACACACAGGAAGTCTGGGCAGGAGACAGGAAGGAGACAGATTGGCCAAGGTCAGAGTAGCCAAGCTGGGGGAGATGGGTCCGTGTTTGGGAACAAAAGCCGTGCACTGTCCCAGAAGGACTCTGGATGACTGTAGATGACCTTGACGCCAGCCCAAACAAAGCCCTAGGCTGGTGAGGCAAACGGGAAAGGGGAGTGTGGATAGGCTTCATTATATTTCTATAGATGCATGTAGATCTCAGCCTCGTGAAGAACGGGCAGTTGTGGTAGTGCCTGTGCAATGTATCCGGTGTGTGTACAACACAGGTTGCGCGCTGCGAGGAGCGAGGAAGCAGAGGGCTCAGGCTGTCTGCTGGAGTTCAGGGAGAGGTTCCATGTTGACTGCAGGAGGAGGCTGAGCCAACGGTATCTGAACGGCCCGAGAGAGCTAATGGACTCAGCCCTGCCATCTGGTCACTTCGCCCAGCTGGGGGTTAGGCAAACCATGTGCGCATTTGGACTGAAATAATAATTGTTCAAGCACCTACACAAGGCTCTAGGTGCCCTCATACAAATAATCCAACATCAGCATGAAAAGGATAATAAAAAGGAACTCTGCTGTCCGGTCACCTCTTCTCCATGTCTTCATTGTTCTGGGAAGCATGCACTCAGCCTAACAACTCACAGGGGCAGGGCCCAGTAGGGTTGTAGATTCGCTTCAGGACAGAATCGATTAGGGATAATTGCTTTTATTAATCCCACTACGTCACTACTATTATAGGCTTAATACTGCCAGAGGGTTACACAGCTACTGCAAAGTAATATGCCAATAAGCATAGGCAGAGCAATGCATAAAAGAGTAACAGGCACTTGGAAATGCTTATGCCCCTTCAGTCCTTCAGGGAGTCCCATTCCGGTCACCTCACACCAGGCCGCAGTGAACGTGGCTCCAGCTGGGGGACCAAGGGCACCCTTCAAGGTCTAGGTCCCTGTTGAGACTTACAGAGAGGCAGGATGCCCAGTGATTTTATACTACAGGGCTGCATCTAGACTGGCAAGTTTTTCCGCAAAAGCAGCTGCTTTTGTGGAAAAGCTTGCCAGCTGTCTACACTGGCTGGCTTGAATTTCCTGCCAGCTATCTACACTGGCCGCTTGAATTTCCGCAAGAACGCTGACTTCCTATTGTCTGAAATCAGTGCTTCTTGCGGAAATACAATGCTGCTCCCATTTGGGCAAAAGTCCTTTAGCACAAAGCTTTTGCGCAAAAGGGCCAGTGTAGACAGCTCAGATTTGTTTTCCGCAAAAAAGCCCCAATCGCGAAAAAGGCGATCAGGGCTTTTTTGTGCAAAAGCGCATCTAGATTGGCACGGACACTTTTCCTCAAAAAGTGCTTTTGCGGAAAATCATCCATGCCAATGTAGACACTCTTTTCCACAAAAGCTTTTAACGGACAACTTTTCCGTTAAAAGCATTTGCGGAAAATCATGCCAGTCTAGACGTAGCCCAGTTATTTACCGAGTGTGCACATACGTGGCTCAACACCATTCTTACACTTTCATGAGCTGAGACCGAGGTCAAACTTGTTTACTGCTCAGTAGTTTCCCGGATCATGGCATGGCTTAAAGCTGATAAAGCCCAGCTGCTGTTTGGGCTTGCAGGGTCCCAGACTACGCTAAGATGGGTAAAGCAGAAATGGAAACTTCCATCCCAAGTCTCTGGTCTGGCATGACCCCGGATGTTCCAGGATCAGAGAGTCCTGGCCTGTGCAGAGGTTGGGGGGGCGGGGTAGGAGCCTGGCGCTATGCAGGGGGGGACACGGTATGGCTTAGCTGGGCTGTGGGGGTGGAGGCAGGAGCTGGTGCAAGACTCAGCTGAGCAGTGAGTGGGGGACAGGAAGCCCGTGAGGGGCAGGACAGTAGGCGCCAGCAGCAGGGGGTCCAGAAATGACCTCCCCTGGTCTGGAAAAATCCCTCATCCCGGACCAGGTCCTGAGGGTGCTGGACCAAGGAGGTCCAACCTATTTTTGCTGCTCACTCTCCAAAGTGCCACAAGATATGCAGTTACCTCCTTTGGGCCATGTCCAAACTCCTTGGTCATAACACGGGGCCTTTGGGGGAGGTGGGCGAATGCCAACTACTTTATTCTTGTCTTGACCAGATCACACAGTAGGCGCCCACCTGCTCCATGTAACAAGAGACTTCTAAGTGCTAGCCCCGTAACTCACCGTACAATTGCCTTCGTGCATTACCTAACTCCCATCCACACATACCCAGCTGTCCCATTGCACACTGGCCCTCTCCAGCACTACATAGAACAAAGGAGGGGCACCTTCAGGGTCATCGAGAGTCCAGCACGTCCTTCTGTCATAATATCCTATTTATAAATGCATCAGGCTCAATGTTACAATTAGTTGTATGGCCCATCATAACAATAGGAGACTGTGCCCCGCCTCTGATGCTTAGAAACCATCTACTATCCAGCCCAAATGTAATCAGTGTCAAATTATCTCCCATAGTGCTTGTGCTGACATTGTCCAGTAGCTCTTTTCCTTCCTTCCTGTTTACTTCCTTGATGTATTTACAGAAAGCCATTAGATTCCCTTCTCAGCCTTCATTTGTCTAGGCTACACAAAGCAAGCTCTTTTAGTCTATTTTTCTGATCATCCAAATAGCCCTACTTGGGCATCTCTACACTAGGAAATTATTCTGAAATAACTAAATTCCAAATAATAACTTCCAAAATAATAATATTGAAATTGCATGTCCCCACTACAGGGAACCCTCGAAATTAGACCGAGGCAGGCTCTGTTAGGTTACGTCTACACTGCAATGCTATTTCAGGATACCGGAGTATCCCAAAATAGCTATCCCGCGTCTTCACAGTGAGCCCATTATTTCAAAATATAACAAGCTCGCTATTCTGACACCCTTGTAAACCTCATTCCACAAGGAGTGAGATACATTTCAGAAGAGCGAGTTATTTCAAAATTTGGCACTGTGTAAGATTGAAATAAGATACTCAATTTGCATAGCTCAAATTGTGTATCTTATTTCGAGCTACGGTACAGTGTAGACGCACCCTTATTATGGATGGGCTACCTCAATTAGAGCCCCAGGAAGCACGGGGGAGTAATTACTTCAAATTACTCTGAGGAGCAGTTATTTCAAAATACCAGCAGCGGAGCGTCCACACTACCCCTATTTTGAAATTAGCATTATTCCCAAAAGACAGCAGGAGTTATTATTTCAAAATAACCAGCCCCTTATTTTGAAATAACAGGTTGGTAGTGTGGACATTCCGCTTATTAATTTGAAAATAATGCCTTAGTGTAGACCAGGGGTGTCCAAACTTTTTTCAAAGAGGGCCAGATTTGATGAAGTGAACATGCGTGAGGGCCGACCATTTTGCCTGACATTCTTTGAACCATTAAAATTAAATGCAAATTAACTATTTTATGCAAAGTTTATTGCAAACGGCATACTTTTATTTCGTCACATGGATGACAAATCTAAACAGGTGTTAAATCACTCTGCCTTTCATATCTGAAGGCCAGATGAAAAAAAAATCCAGGAAGCTGAAATATATGTCAGGAACATTGTAAAGTACATTACATATTATTGGTAATAGAGGTTGTCTGTCAACTTTTAAGTTAAAAAAATATGAACAGGAACATAACACCAAGTATACATGTTGTGTCCAAATATATTTATAACTGATTTAGACCAACTGACATTAACTGAGATTTTACAATGTATTCATCTCAATACATATGGATTCGTTGGGGGCCATAAAAGATAGATATTGCCAAATTACCTGTGGGGCCGTATTAAACCAGAACACGGGCCGCAATTGGCCCCCGGGCCGGACTTTGGACATGCCTGGTGTAGACCAAGGCCTCTATAGCTATTCTAGTGTGAATTCAACTTTCTTGAAAATGGGAGACCAGAGCTGCATACTGAAATGGCATATGCATTTGGAACAGATGATAAGGTGTGAAGTACACAGAACCTTTGCCCCCGAGAGTAACGGAATACAAAGGAATTGAAGGTGATGCTTCTCTGGATTGGCCCACAGATCTCCCACTTTCATGTTGTTTGCTAATTTCAGACATGCAATGTTAACTTGGACCATCACAAGTTGGTCATTTCACACAGATCCTCCAGATCTCTCTGCCAGCCTCTGAGCCATGCTGCTCTTCTTTCCAGTTCTTCCTCCAGCACATGTAGGAGTCATGGCAGGAGTCATGGCCAGGGCTGGATGTTAGGTGCAAGTGACAGAGGCAACCTCCTGGAGTGGGGTGGGCTAGGAGTGCTGTTTTTGTGGTGAGCAACAACAGGGAAAATAGAAAGTTTGAAGTGAAATGTCTGAGGTGTTCTCGATGTGGATTCATTTTTCATTAACCTTCTAGAATGTTCTGGACCTTTATAGAATCTCGTGGAACCTTCCAGACTTTCTGAGACCTTAAACCTCCCAGGATGTTGTCGTTTATGCTTTCATGGGTATGTGTTGTGGGGGGGGCTTGTCAGTCAGTCAGTGAAGTGCAATGAGAGCTCAGCAGCGACACTATGAATCTTGTTTTATTGTGTAATTGTCAAGTGTATGTGTGAGGGGAAGCCAAAGAGATGGGCACCAAAATGGAGGACACAGGGTGCCCTTGGGAGCAGCTCTGGTCATGGCTTCCATTCTCCACAGGCAGCTGTAAAATGGTGCTGTTAAACCAGGTGATTAATAAAACTTATTTTTTAAATTGGTCTTTGTGAATGTGTCCTTTCCATACTTAGTAAATTTGCTACAACTAACACAACAGTCATGTCTACATAGGTGGCACTATTAAAGAAAATATATTATATCCCCCAGAGACACTGGGCGTTCCATAGCATTGAATCTTCTTTTGCAAGTGGCCAGAAAACATAGTCAAACTTGGATCAGAAGACAAGTGACAGATTGGCTTTCAGTCCAGGGCTCTTACACACTTCACACAAACCGGCTTGAATACATTTGGAAAGAAACAAGACCATTGTTTTAGAGGTGGATGTGCAATGGCAGGTAGATGTAGTCAATACACAGCAGTTCAACACCAGATTTGGTAGGTAGCTTCCTCTTCTCCTAACTTAAAGCCAGGCCAGTGTTTGGTTGTGCCAGGCAAACAGGAAGTGCCTGGAATGGGATTGTTTTCCAGCTCTTGGAAAGGGAGGGGGCTGATCAAAGGGCCATTATACTGCATAATGACCACTAGGGGCAGCAAGCATAGGAGACAGTCATATTGCAGAGTGACCTCCGGCTGCGTATGCACCAGTAAGAGAATGGTCGCCTGGGGGAGGGGCTCTGAATGTTGCTAGCCCAGCCAGCATCCACTGATAAGGTTCCCATGCTGGTACTGGGTAGGGTTCCTCCCTCCCGTGCTGGCCCCCAGACCTGACAGCGCAGGTCATCCTTACAAACTGTTGGTTCCTATGCAACTGAGGATCCCTAGGGATTCCCTCACTCCCCCCACCATGCATGTCCTGCAGGGAGCCTGGGGCTTCCCTCCCCACCACAGGGCTGTTAAGGAGGTTGGGGGAATTCCTTCCTGCCCTGTGCAGCTCCTAAGGAAGCCAGGGAATTCCCACCTGCCTTTCCCCTCCCCCCTCACATGATTCCTAAGGGGGCCTGAGGTTTCCCTCCCGCCTTCCCACCCCCAAACACCTGTCCTGGTTCCTGCAACCCCCTGCCCTGAATCCTCCCACACACCCAACCTCCTGCCCTGAGTCCCCCAACTCCTTCCCTGCCTCCTGCATCTCCCACCCCCTTGTCCTGAGCTCCCCTCCACACCAAACTCCTGACCTGAGATCCCACACACACCCAACTCCCTGCCCTGAGCCCTCTACCCCTGCCCTGACCTTTGTACCCCCCATCCCCCGCCCTATGCCAACCTCACCTCCCAACCCCCTTCCCTGAGCCACCCCACACCTCATCCCCTGACCTGAATTTCCCACCCCTTGCTCTGGCTCCTGCACTACCCACCCCCTGCATGGAGCCCCTCCTTAATGACCCAAGCAACGACAGGTACATTTGCAAATAATTAAAATAAATAGGATCCATTTTGGGGGCAGAACCATGCTTTATAGCTAAACAGCGAATACCTAGTTGACGTTTCCTAAAGCTGAGAACAAAGTGTCACCCTCTCTCGATTAACTAGAATCCTGGTTTCCACCGAAGGTTTTGGTTTGCTCCAAGCTGCTCCCCACTGGCTTCAGACAGTACTCACTGAAGCTAATAGGAATCTTTCCATGGACTATGGTGGGCAGCAGAACAGAGCAGCCCCATCTCAGTGTCCGTACATGTCACCGCTCAAATTATTTTTCACAGCAACCTTGCTCTGCAGATACAGACTCATAGACATTAAGGTCAGAAGAGTTGGTCTGATCATTGGTCTGACTTCCTGCAGTCCACAGAACCCCACCCACATTACAGAATCCAGGGCATCAATTCTAAGTATTAAAATCAGCATCATTTAACAACAAAATGAAATAAATACAGGTTGAACTTCTCTGATCCAGCACTCTCTGATCCATCAACATCCATGGTCCGGCATGATTTTACTGAGCCCAATAGCCACTTCTTATGGGTGTGGCCAAGTTTCCCACAGTCCTGGCTCTGTGTTCTGTGCTGTTATTTAGCTCTAATTTACCCCTAAATGTCTTCTCAGAGCCCAGCAAGCAGTGGAAGTGTTGGTGATGCTGCTAGACAATATTGACCTACCATGGTTGAGCAAATTCTCTGGTTTGGCACTAGTCAGTTCCTGAGGTGCCAGACTAGAGAGGTTCAACCTATACCATCTTCTGTCTGATTTTGAAAGTGGCAGCTGAAGGTGCTCCAGGGGACTTGTATTTTGGGAGCCATCATTAAGGAATCTTTAATCAGCAGTGAAAGCTCAACTAGCTTCTGAGCCTTCATGTTTGTAGATGAAACAACAGTGTATGGGGTGCAAGGAAGGCCACAGCAGCCATTAGACCCACCCAGCTGCGGGTTAGAGTGAGTGACCAGAGCTCTTAATGCCACTGAACAGGAAACGGGATTAATACCATGGCAGAGGAAAAGGAGACCGCATCAAATCCCCGTACACACAACTCAGTACATACACACTGTGGCTAAGTCTACACAGCGGATCTATTTTGGGATACCTCCTGTATCCCAAAATAGCGATTCTGCATGTTAAGAGCAAGCCCGTTATATCGGAAAATAACAGGCTCACTATTCCGACATCCCAGTAAACCGCATCGCACAAGGGTTAAGGGACATTTCAGAATAGCGCCTTATTTCAAAATTTGGTGCTGTGTAGACAGAGCCAAATCTCAAAATATGCCATTTTGAAATAACTTCGAAATAAGCTACGCAATTTGCATAGTGCAAATTGTGTAGCTTATTTTGAAGTAAGGGTGCTGTGTAGACGCACCCTCAGAAACGAACACTGTCCGAAATGTGCCATAGCTCCTACACACATCCAAATACACTCATGGAGACATACACATATTCACAAAGACACAAGCTATCACAACACTCCTCACACATGACATCCATGATTAGACACAAACACACACATATCCAGAGACCCTCCTCTGCAGACGCACACTTGTGTACATAAACACACATCTGTTCACATCCAACTCATTACGTCTATCATGGTGGGCAACATGTGACCCATCAAGGTTCTAGGTTTAGCTCACAAGGCATTTTGTTTTCTGTTGCCCACATGCAGGGTTACCAGATATCGCTGTCTGTGTAGTTTTTTCCCTACTGGTGTTACTAAAGTGACGCCCACATAAAGCCAGGGCAGGTGAAGTGAGGTGTGTGCTGATTGCACACAATATTGATTGTGACAACCATGTGCTTCCTCTGCAGCCAATCAAAGTGCAGCTACGGTTCAATCGGCACCCCCGGCAAATTCTAGGTATGAGAGGGCAGTGAGAAAAACAGCCCTATCCTGGGAGGCCATCTTGGTTACAACAATCTTGCAGCCCCTTGAAATGAAGGAAGGTCCCTCATGTGGCCCATTGCATTGCCTGCATTGCTGATATAGACCTACTGAGATAAAGACGCATTTATTCAGCTATGCACTTGTAACACCAACAGGTGGAATTGAACTTGGGACCTCTGGAACTTAGTGCATGAGCCACTACAGCATTAGCTAAAAGCCAGATGGCTCTCAGCTAAGTCAGTAGAGCAAACTCTCTCTGTAAGTGGTCTAACTGTCACTACAGGGGACAGTATACCACACCCAGTAGGTGTGTAGGCTACACGTACACAGTCACAGTCATGGAAACACACAACAGCTCCCCTCACATGATATACAGCAATAGGAACAACACACCATAAACACACCTGGCTACTTTGTTATGTATTCCCAAAAATGTATCCCCATAGGCACAACCATGCAAAGGCCATCACCAGACTCCACACACAGAACCGGTCACCTTAGAAACACACACGCCAAAGACACACACTAACGCACACACCCGCAGCATTATAAACCTGATAAATACTACATGTGCAAACAAAACAGCATACTTACAACCCACCACCCAGCTACACCTACATACACACACAAACTCTGTGGGTGGGGGGAGATGAAGAATCTTTCAGCAGCATCATATGTCATACAGCATACATCACCTCATCTGTGGTGTGTATCCTTCTAATGTAAACAGGCGCTAAATAGACAAACTACCCTGGGCAACAGTGTCCACCTCCCCTCTCTGCCAATACAGCAGATCACTAACTTGCCTCAGTCCCGATGCTCCTGTCCTGGGGGAATTTCCTCCCAAGCCCTCTCCTCAGGGCAGCCTTCACCTCCTTGTTCCGCAAGCTGTAGATGAGGGGGTTCAGCATGGGGATCACCATCGTGTACAACACGGAGACCACTTTGTCTTGGCCCATGGAGGAGCTGGAGCTGGGCCGCAGATACATGAAGAGCGTAGTCCCAAAGAAGATGGAGACAGCTGTCAGGTGGGAGGCGCAGGTGGAGAAGGCCTTGCGCCTGCCCTCGGCAGAGCGTATCCGCAGGATGGCAGAGAGGATGTGCAGGTAGGAGATGAGGACGGTGAGGAGGCAGCTGATTTCAATTAAGCTGGCGAAGGCAAAGATCACCACCTCGTTGACGAAGGTGTCGGCGCAGGAGAGCTTCAGCAGAGGAGGGACATCACAGAAAAAGTGGTTGATGATATTGGAGTTGCAGAAGGGCAACTGAAACATACAGATGGTGTGGATCATCGAGTTGGCAAACCCAGCTAGAAAGGAACTGACTACCAGCAGGACACAGACTCTGTGGGACATGATGACGGTATAGAGCAGCGGGTTACAGATGGCCACATACCTGTCGTAGGCCATCACGGCCAGCAGGAGGCACTCAATACCCACCGAGGAACTAAAGAAAAAGAATTGGGTTGCACAGCTGTTGAATGAAATGGCTTTGTTCCCAGATAAGAAGCCCACCAGCAACTTGGGGGTGATGACCGAGGAGTAGCAGAAATCAACAAGGGACAAATTAATGAGGAAGAAGTACATGGGGGTGTGAAGTTGAGGATCACTCCTGATTAGCACGATCATCCCCAGATTTCCTGTCAGGGTGATAAGATAGATCACTAGGAACACCACAAAGAGTGGGACCTCCAACTCTGGGTGATCGGTGAGTCCCAAGAGAATAAACTCGGTCACAGCAGAGAGGTTTCCGTTGGCCATTTCTTCAGCATCACTGATGGTAGAGGTGCCAAAGCCCGGTTAGAGTTTGCCATCCATCTCTAGGCTAGCACAGAACTGATCCCCCAGGTAATGTTACAATATCCTGTGCAATGCAATGTCAACCGCTCCCCTTCAGAAGCAATTCCACAGCCTTGTAGAGCTCTCTGACGTGAAAATTCAGTGTAGATTGTCTCTTTTTCTTTTTCATTCCCTCACACCTAGCTACACCATGCTTCTGCATTGCACTTAAAAAACTTCCTCTCTTTGAAACCTTTGAAATATTTGCAGCCTGCCGTTGTGTCTCCTCTTCACACCTTCACCATCTCTCACCTCAACCAGACGTATTAGTTCTTTTAACGTTTCTGATTGACCATCCCAACATTCTGTCTTACGGCTGTTGCTTTTCTTGGAAATCTCTCCAGTAGGTCTAGCATATCAAAAGAAGGAAATCAAAATGAGATTAAGAAGGGGGACTTTCATGGCTCAGGAAGCATCTAAGTCTATTAGTCCTTCAGCCTGTCTCTCACTGAATTTCTGTCTTGCTTTCTCAACAAGAGGATTCTATGGGAGAAAAAAACCCAGCATTTAGAACATGGTGAATTCTCCATGAGTTAGACACACTCTACAGCAGATCATAATTTTATTCCATGCACCCCGCCTGCATGCCACAAAAATGTTGATATAAATGGGGAGAGGGGAATAGCTCAAAATAAACAATCTTCAGTTTTTAGCCATAATCACTGGATTTTCAAGTTTTCTATTTTCTGTCTTTTTTTAAGGAAACCAGACACTCTCCAAAATATTTTGTTTAATCAAAAAAATTCAATTTCCCATTGAAAAAAAGTCTACATGGAAAATTTATCAGCTAGCCTGAATCCATCCCAGCCCTATACAACACTTAAGCACAAGAAAACGGAATATAAATGATACACAGACCTGGTACTGACACCGGGGTAATGTCCTCCTCTCGATTTTAAAGAAATTGAGTGTGTATTCTAAAGAATCAGTGAAACAATTTCAGGTAGAAAGGGATCATTTCCGCATTGGCTTCATGGCCATGGCGTATGTCTATGGCAGATGCGTGTATTATATCTTGGTTTGTGACTTTGGGACTTTCTTTGTGAAGTGTCCCCTAGTGCCAATTAAAACAGAATGCCTTGGGATTACTTCTCTCTGCTCCATGTATGAAAGTTCTGGGGCATACTTAGCCCTGATCAACACTAGAACTTTATTTCTAAATAACCCCCCCATAGGTCGAAATAATAAGTGGAGCATCCACACTACCAAGCCCATTATTTTGAAATAACGGGCCGCTTCTTTCAAACTCTGTACTCCTGTTTCTGCAAGGAATAACATTAATTTTGAAATCGTTATTTCGAAATAGCAGTGGTGTGGACACTCCGGTGCTGCTATTTCGAAATAACGACTCCCCAGAGTAATTCAAACTTATGAGTCCCCAGTGCTCCCTGGGGCTCTAAGTCAAAGTAACACATCCACATTAACGAAGTCTGCCTCAGACTAATTTCGTGACTTCCCCGTAGTGGGGACATGCTATTGCAATTTTGTTATTTTGGGAATTATTAAATCAATTTTAGTTATTTTGAAATAGTTTCCTAGAGTAGACATGCCCATAGAGTTTATTTTCCTTGTAGGTGCAGGTGGTTAGAAGTCCATGTTCTCTTTGACTAGTCTCAAGAGATCAGGGTCTGGAGACACTCAAAAGGGATTCATTTATTCATGCTATTGTATGACGTTCTACAGCCATATTTTGAGCAAACATCTCCTCTGTCCTATTTATAGGGCCCTCCCAAATTCACAGTCCGTTATGGCCAATTTCCTGGTCATAAGATTTAAGAATCAGTAGATTTCACGTTTTCAGCTGTTTAAACCTGAAATGTTGCAGTATTGGAACTGCGGGGTCCAACCCAAAAGGAGATTGTGGGGGCAGTCACAAACTTGTGGTAGGGAGGTTATGGGGTTGCACCCTCACTTCTGTGCTGCCTTCAGAGCTGTATTCTGAAGGCAGCAAGTGCAGGAAGTTCTAGGAGGCTGAGATGGGTCTGATCTCCCCCATGCTGCTGAAAACACCCCAGCAAGGGACACCTTGCCACTAGCCCTGGCTGGCTTAGGAAGGGACAAGACTTGCCCTCTCTCTGCACAACTGCAGAAAGTGCTGCATCCCATACCCCACACACAGCTGCAAGAACTTCAGGCTGCTGTCCAGTCCCAGACAGCAGAGGGAAGCGCCCAGAGGTGGATCTGTCTGCCCCTCCTCCACCCCACCCCCGTCCCACCCCAGAGCAGTTTGCAGGAGATGGACAAGTCCTGTCCTTCCCCTGCCCACTCGGAGCTAGGAATCCCATTGGTGGGGTGCTCCGAGGAACAAGGAGACATCAGATTTCACAGGGAAAGGTTTTTTTCATGGTCCGTGATGCATTTTTCACAACCTTGACGTTGGAAGGTCCCTACCTATTTACTACTAGAAGATTTACCCGGCGTCACTCAGGTCCTCAGTGATTTTTTTTAATAAAATGAAAATGTCCGTGCTTCATTTAAATCATTGCTGTGGGGTGGGGTGTTTAGTAGGCAGGCTGCCCCAGGGAGAGAGGACCCCAGCCCTCTCTCAGAGCAGCAGCGTGGGGCCAGGTGAGAAGCGCCTCTCCATGGCTGCTGCAGCTCCGGTGGGCACAGCTAGGGGAACGGTGCATGTCCCCTGGGTAGGCCAAGTCCAGATTTGTCTGTCCTCTGCACTGTCACCGTCCCCTCCTCCCAGCCAGAGTGAGGAATGCAGCAAACTTTGCACTTTCCCCTCACTTCCTGATGAGCCAACAGTGTCCCCATACAAACTGGGGGGGGGGGCCCTCCTGCCCTCCCTAAAGGATTCCTGAGGGTGGGAAGTTTGGGGCTGGGGAAGTGCTCCCCTCCCCCCACCACCCCCCTTTCACCTGCCTGGTGATTCTTGCTCTTTTCTGTATGTTTTATGAGAAGCAATCCCATTCCAGGCACACCCCCTTGTCCTGGCACAACCAAACCCTGACCTTGCTTTTAAATTATGGGAAGAGGAAGCTGCCTACCAAATTCGGTCATGCTAGCTCTTACCGTTTAAGAGGAGATCTTGAACAAACGGAGAAGTAGACAGACACACAGACAAACTCTCTCAGTTGTATATACCAAGATTCTTCTTATTATTAAAGCACCTAGAAGCCTTAACCATGGATCAAAGACTCTGTTGTGCGATGCACTGTTCAAACACAGAACAAAAAAGATGGGTCCTGCCCACAAATGCTTAGAACCTAGGCAATGCCTTCCCTTGCCTATGATACCCACTGCCCATCTGTGGAGAGGTTGCACTGGAAGGTGGCAATGGTGACTAAGAAAACCATCAGGCCAACTTCTGGGCTGCCTTTGTGCAAGAGTCAGTTACCCATCTGTGGTCAGGCAACAAGTGGCAGAGTCTTGGAAGAGCTGGGTCAGGGTCCCAGATTATAGGCAGCAGGCGCAGAGCAGAGCTAGGGGCGAACTGGGATCAAAGCGAGCCCAGGGTTCACAGCAAGGCAAGGTCTGGAGCACAAGCCAACAGGCAAATGTGGCCATGGCTCAGATAGCACCCCCTGGTGGCTTCTTGGTTTATGTACTGGGATGAGCCAAACCCAGTGGACTGCAGGGGGCTGCCACGCAGGCCCTACGGGGCGGTACTTCCTGCAGTGTCTAGTTTGAAGGGATCTTCCAGTGGACGCCTAACCTGAGCTTCTCATGATGACGTGCTACTGTCATTGACCCAAGTTCCAAACTCTACTCCTACAGGCTGTTACGGGTGTAGGCATTAGGGCTTGTGTTCTAAAACTATTCAGTGGGGGGAGGGTTTCAAAGCCTGACCCCAACGTTTACACCACTGGATCTCAGTCAGGGATCCTGTACCCCTGGGGGGTATGCAGAGGGTACTCAGCTCCATCTAAGTCAGTTTGTTTCTCAACCTGGGGGCTGCAATTCCAAGGCGGGGTCATGGTTGGGGGGATTGTAAGTGCAGGGCTGGCACTGGAGGGCAGGGTAAGTAAGGCAATTGCATGGGGCCCCACATCACAGATGGCCTCACAAAACTGAGTTACATACTTCAGCCCCACTGCACAGCTTCCAACAAGGCTCACACGTGAAAAACGGGATTAAGTATCACACTGAAATATAAAGTCCAATATAGATATTCCAAATAATTTATTTTATAACCATCTATAACTATCTATAGCTATACCTATACAATATCGATATCAATATATAGAGCGTGTCCGTCTGTCTGTGAGTCCATTTGTTCAAGAACTTCTCCTAAACTGTAAGAGCTACGGCCACCAAATCTGGGATGCAGCTTCTTCTTCCCCTCACTGAAAGCAAGACCAGGATTTAATAGTGCCAGGAAAATGGGAAGGGCTCAGAATGGGACTGTCTTCCAGAGCATAGAAAGGGAGGGGGACAAAAGGAGGGGTGTGATACTGACAGACTCCAGAAGGAGCCAAGGTACTTTTACAGTTAACACCTGAAGAGCTTCAAGAATTCTAGCTTTGTAATGAGGAGGCTGGGTAGAAGTTCTGAGAGCCTGGGCTTAAAGTTTTCCCAGGCCTTCCAAACTCCTTGTCATCAGCGGGGAGCTTGAAAATGTTGGAAGAGCTATACTGGAGCTACATACCCTGAAATTACCAGGTTCCCAGGACTGTCCTCTGGCAGATCTATCCATGAACCTATGGACCCTGGAAACACCAGGGTCCACAGTTCAGAGGCAATTTCTTGGTAGTCTGCCTCTGAACCTTGGGATGTGGAAGCATGGGGGTTTATAGCAGCTCACAGCATGGAAAGCCTGCCTCGGAGTCACTGAAAACTTCTCAAGCACAGTTCCTGTAGATAAAAACCTTTCAGCTTTCAAAGATCAGCATGTTCCAATGAACCTTTGTATACTCAGAAAATTTCCAATCCTCTCTAATTATAGGTCCATTTGCAGGCATGCTACTAAAAACAGGGCCTTCAGCAGTAAGAGAATGGTAAAAAAGCACACAGGTGCTTAGATGTGCCTATCTTCCACAAATATTCCGCCCTATTTTTCCCTTGTGAATTTGTAAGGGAGCAGGTATGAAGACTTTCCACCATGTGGTGTAGAAGACTAAGACTGGAATTGCATTCTCAGAATAGATGACTAACAAATCATATTTTAACTATATTCATGCCCGTGTGAAGCCTGCGGAGATGCCATTTTTCAGGGTCGGAAAGAGAAAAATTGCTCTAGTTTGTAAATAAACTATATTTTCATCAATGATTTCAAGTTCACGTCAACATTTCAAGGACTCTAGAAGTCCAATTGCCCAATGAATGTCCAATTCTTCCCTTTTAGTAATGTTCAAAATCCTATATCTATCTGGAAAAAATGGAGGCCTCTTTGAGATAAAGGGTTTAATTCATCACTGCAAATTGAGCCTCTTTAGTCCAGCATCCACGGATGCCAAAGCTGAGAATTTGCTGAACCATGGGAGGTCAATATTGTAATGAGTGGGTCTCTTTTTATTTTTATTTTGCCGAGGCAGATAAATGGAATGCTTGCAATGCTGCTTAACAGTGTATGACTCTACGGATACCCTCTATATAAGCTTATACCTAGTCAAAGCTTATCAGCTCTTCATGACAAAGTGTTAGTGTTGTTACATTATTTTACAGCATTGGCACAAGGAAATAAGTAGAAAAGGGGGAAAAACATGCTTATGTTTAGCAGCATCAACACTTCCACTGATTGCTGGGCTCTGAGATGACATGTGGGGGTAGATTAGAGCTAAATAACAGCACAGGACACAGTGCCAGGACAGGCAGCTGTAAGCAATCTTTATGGGACGGCAGGAAAGTTCATAGAATCATAGAACCAGAGAGCTGGAAGAGACCTCAGAAGGCCATCAAGTCCAGCCCCCTACCCTAGGCAGGACTAATCCCAGCTAAATCAACCCAGCCAGGGCTTTGTCAAGCCGAGACTTAAACACCTCTAGGGATGGAGACTCCACACCCATCCCAAGTTGTTCACACCCACGATAAGTGGACATCCAGCTCACTAAAATCCAGCCAGTTACCAGATGTTGCTGGACCAGAGTGTGTCGGACTAGAGAGGTTCAATCAGTGCATTGTTCCACTTTTATTCTAATTGTAACTTCACCTCCAACAAGGGGATTACACCTGCATAAAACTGGAATAATGATGTGTAGAATCAACTGAGATAGGCATAGGCAACAGGGAGACATTTAATTCACTCCCTCGTTATTGGAGGAAATTATGTGTGACCTAAGAACTGAAAGAAAAGAAATATGAAATCCCCTTTTCACTTGAATGGGTAACACACCTGCAGCTGAAGTCACTGTGTCTGAACGCTCAGGCTACGTCTACACTGGCATGATTTCCCGAAAATGCTTTTAATGGAAAAGTTTTCCGTTAAAAGCATTTTCGGAAAAGCACGTCTAGATTGGCAGGATGCTTTTCCGCAAAAGCTCTTTTTGCGGAAAAGTGTCCGTGGCCAGTCTAGACGCGCTTTTCCGCAAAAAAGCCCCAATCGCCATTTTCGCGATCGGAGCTTTTTTGCGGAAAACACTACTGTGCTGTTTACACTGGCCCTTTTGCACAAAAGTCTTTCAGAAAAAGACTTTTGCCCGATCAGGAGCAGCATAGTATTTCCGGAAAAGCACTGACAATCTTACATGAGATCATCAGTGCTTTTCCGGAAATTCAAGCGGCCAGTGTAGACAGCTGGCAAGTTTTTCCACAAAATCATTTGATTTTGCGGAAAAACTTGCCAGTCTAGACTCAGCCTCAGTGTTTTAACACAATATAATCCTGTCTAATGCAATGTTCAGGTACTATGATGACGGACACAAATGCAAACAAGTAGGATAGATAGATAGATAGATAGATAGATAGATAGATAGATAGATAGATAGATAGATAGATAGATAGATAGATAGATAGATCAATCTTCAAATGTCTTCCCTGACTAAAATACCACATCTGAGAGATACACAAAAACATGAGACCCATTCAGTGCTGAATCTGTGGCACTGTTGACATCTCATAGCAATGCTCACATAAAAAACATTTTCCTGTACATTATTTTTCGAAAAGCTTCTTTCACGTCCTTCTTCCTCAGGCTGTAGATCAGAGGGTTCAGCATGGGGATCACCACCGTGTAAAACACAGAGGCCCATTTGTCCTGGTCCAGGGAGTAGACCGAAGTCGGCCTCAGGTACATGAAGATGATGGTCCCGAAAAGCAAAGAAACGCCTGTGAAGTGGGAGGCGCACGTGAGGAAGGCCTTGTGCCTGCCCTCAGCCGAGCGCATCCTCAGGATGGCGACAAGGATAAAGACATACGAGACCAGGATGATGGAGAGAGAGCTCATTTCTGCAAGGCCTGCAAAGAAGTAGAGTAGGAGCTCATTCACGTGGGTGTCGGAGCAGGAGATCGCTAAGAGAGGGGGGACATCGCAGAAGAAATGGTTGATGACATTGGAACTGCAGAAGTTGATGCTGAACGTAGCACCTGTGTTTATCAAGATATTGACAGCACTGGCCAAATAGGATGCCACAACCAGCTGGACACAAACTCTCCTACACATGGTGGTGGAATAAAGCAATGGGTTACAGATTGCTACATAACGGTCATAAGCCATGGCAGCCAGCGTGTAGAACCCAGTGTTCATAAAGACACCGAAGAAAAGGAACTGCATGGTGCAGCCGGCAAAAGAGATGGCTTGCCTGCCGTGTAAGAAGCCCACCAGCATCTTAGGGGCAATGGCAGAAGAATAGCCGAAGTCACAGAACGACAGGTTGCAGAGGAAAAAGTACATGGGAGTATGAAGTTGTGAGTCCACAGTAATCATGAAGATCATGCCTAGGTTCCCCACCACATTGGTCAGATAAATCAACAGAAACACCACAAAGAGGATGTCTTGTGTCTGTGGCTCTTGTGTGAAACCCAAGAGGATGAAGTCAGTCACGGTGGGACGATTTCCCTCTGCCATGTCTACAGGTGGTGGGAATCTCTGGAATAAAATTTAAATGAGCAGAGTGGGGCTGAAGGCATCTGGCCAGGTTGCAGATGGGCAAATCCCCTTTTTAATCCCCTGAAACTCTTCCTGCTGCACACACATCAGGAAGTGTTGGCACTCAGTTCAGTCTCTATGTGAACGTCATCGTCTTTCTATGCCCAGACAAAATCTCCGATTCCCATTGTAATAATAATATGCCACAGTCTATTTTTAGAGCGCCGAATGGCCCATCTAGCCCTGTGCTCTCTCGCTGTCTGGGACCAGACCCTACAGAGAAGCTTCATGAACTTCTGTGGTGTCTACAAGTCTTTTTGCATCTCTGGACTTGTCTACGCAGACACAGGGCAGCGTCATTTCCAGCCAAGTAGATGTATCTGAGCTAGCATGCTGAAAATGAAGGGTAGCTGCAGCAGCAGCAGGAGCAGCAGAAGGGACTAGCCAGCCCAGGTTTGATCTTTTGCAAGACCCTAGGTACTTCAGTGGTGAGTCCTGCCTGCTGCCAGTGCCGCTATATTTCTCTTTTTAGCTATTCAAGCAAGAAATTGCACCTTGCAGAAACAAACCGTGTCTCCTTCGCAGCTGTTATGTCGCTGGTTTTGGTGACAGGTCACTGTGTTGGCTGCTCAGATGCTCATCTCTACATTTCCTTCAGAACTCTTGAACATGTTCCATCACTTTCTGTCAGCACCTCCTCCTTTATCACCCCAAGCTCTGACCGTGCCTCCCCTTTGTTACCTAATTAATACAAATGTGGGCTTGGTAATAGCTCACCAAGAACCTCTGTGGTGCAGACCAGAGCAAGGAAATGATTTAGCTTCTCTACTATAGTCTTTACCGGTTGTTACCCCAGAAAACACAGCAGACCCATTGACCCTCTCGCACACTTTCAGCTTCTGACACTCTTCAATAATGCCTTGTGATTTGTTTAGGGAGCTTTGGCTAGTTATTCTGCGCATTCCCTCCCTCCCACGCTGTTACTTTCACTCCTTGTCCCTTCTGGCATTTAGGAAACTCTTCTATTAGGGGATGGTTTTTTACCCCATCTCTTAGAATTGACCTCTTCTGAAGAGCCAAATGGGATCAAGTTCTACCAACCTGGGAGATGAGTGAAAGTTTCCTCCGGGTTGCTGAGTTTCCTTGGTCTCTTGTTCTGAAATGTGGTAGCAGGAAAATCCAGAAACGCAAATGTGAAGGGTATAAATGACTTGAAGCTACTCCTTGTGGCTCCCATGGATCTGTTAGCACTAGCCAAGTTGAGTGAGATCATGTATTCTGTCTCACAGCATAAACATTCACCTTTTGAAGGAGGAGGTAATCATAACAGAGTTCCCAAAGGGCAGAGGTATCTTGTGACATTTTTCCGTACAGGGATGTTTGAATTCCAAATTTCAGGCAGCCTCGGTACAAGAGCAGTCATAGGAATGTCACAGAAACACTGTTAACATTCCAGCGTGTGGGTAAGTTGGTGGCTTTGGGTCTATGTCACCTGTGGCAAGACATAAGGCCCTGGTCCTCCAGACCCACCATGCGCACACACACTCCAGCCAGACTAACCCATGGTTCCCTTTTTCTGGTTCTGTTTGACTTTGACTCCCACAGACCCAGACTGAGATTATAATCTTAACTGCCCTTCCAAACCCACCTGGGAACATGCTACTACAGCTCCACATCCTGCTGCCTGCTCCATTTAGATGGTTGCAGCATCTCAGATGTCAAGGGACAGAAAAGATTAATTAGATTCTCTGCTACATCTTCTTGAAGCCAATGCAGGATTAGTGCCTAGCCCAGCAATGGGCAACCTAGGTTAGTGAGTGGGCCACATACCAGGCCCTCCTTCATCTCAGTGGTCTGCAAGATTATCGGAACCTAGACAGTCTCCTGGGATTGGGTAGTTTTGCTCACTGCGCTAGCATCCCTAGAATTTACGGAGGGTGCGAACTGAACAGCAGCAGAGCCTTGATGGGATGCAGAGGGAGCACACGGCTCTCACAATGTTGTGTGCAATCAGCATGCAGATTACTTCACATACCTTTGCTTGACGTGAATCTCACTTTGGTGATATTAGTAGGAAAAAAACTATGCAAACAAAAACCAACAAAATCTGGCTACCTCGTGCATGGACAATGATAAACAAAATGTCTCACGGGCCACACATAGAATCCCAATGGGCTGCATAGAATCATAGGGTTAAAAGAGGCCTCAGGAGGTCATTGAGTCCAACCCCCTGCCCAAAGCAGGACCAACCCCACCTAAATCATCCCAGCCAGGGCTCTGTCAAGCCAGGACTTAAAACCTCTAGGGATGGAGATTCTACCACTTCTGTGGGAACCCATCCCAGTGCTTCACCACCCTCCTAGGGAAATAGTTTTTTCTAATATCCAACCTAGACCTTCCCCACTGCAACTTGAGACCATTGCTCCCCATTCTGTCATCTGTCATGACTGAGAACAGCTTTTCTGCATCCTCGTTGGAACCTTCCTTCAGGTAGTTGAAGGCTGCTCTCAAATCCCCCCTCACTCTTCTCTTCTGTAGACTAAATAAGCCCAAATCCCTCACCCTCTGCTCATAAGTCATGTGTTCCAGCCACCTAATCATTTTGGGTATGTCTACACTACCCCCCTAATTCGAACTAGGGGGGGTAATGTAGTCATACGGAGTTGCAAATGAAGCCTGGGATTTGAATTTCCCGGGCTTCATTTGCATAAAGCCGGCCGGCGCCATTTTAAAATGCCGGCTAGTTCGGACCCCGTGCCGCGCGGCTACACGCGGCACGGACTAGCTAGTTCGGATTAGGCTTCCTAATCCGAACTAGCTGTACACCTCATTCCTCGTTCCACCTAATACAATACTCCAGATGTGGCTTCAACCAGTGCTGAATAAAGGGGAATAATCGCTTCTCTAGATCAGCTGGCAATGCTCCTCCTAATGCCACCCAATAAGCTGTTAGCCTTCTTGGCTACAAGGGCACACCCTTGGGTCGCAAGTTTCCCACCACTGCCCTAGAGGTCAATTTTTTTGCCCAGCCTAGCTTTTAGATGTGCCAGAAAGTGGGCTTTCCATGGGGGAAGTCTAAGGAGTCTTCCACAGACTCCAGAATAAGGTTCCACAGACTCAAACAGCTCCTCATCAGGATGTTCTCTCTCATATTCTGTCTAGGACACATGGATGCTGCACCCAAACCAGGCACTGAACCGAGCTCTCCTGGTCCCCCTCCATGGCTTCTCTCCAGTACCGTTTTCTGGAGAACTGTCCAAGAGGCGCTTACAAAGGTGGGATTCATTTGGCGCCACAACCCTCATCAGTAGAAGAAAGAGGCACATACACCTCCCCCACCCCCAAACATCCCTCCTCATGCCTATGAAATCACTGAAGAAATGGCAAGTCGTAGGGAGGATTTCTTCTGAGGATTCAGCTGTGAGACCTGGCAGGGGGGGCTGTGAAAGTTGTCAGAAGAAGCCAGGGACAGTGCTCCCCTGCTATAGAACCTCAGTGTCTTGTGCTTTGTTACTATGTTGTGGGTAGAACCCATGCCTGAAAAGGGTAACAGCAATTGTTTGTGATGTTACCAAGAAGGCCCTGTCATTTCCTTTGTCATCTCCAACAACAAACAGCCATGTGGGTGCTACTGATGACACATCCAGTCTGTGGCAATGTCCCTAACTCAAGGTTTGAGCAAGCCCTGTTCCCCGTTATCATCAGCTGATCTCACATAACTAGTTGCCATATAAAACTTCAGCAGCCCTTCCTTCCCACAGCAGCTGTTTCTTTGGAGCCTGGATTGGAACTAGTGGGTCTATGTCAGAGTGTAGTTTCCTCCAGAGTGTAGTTTCCTCCAGAAATGGCTATAGGAGGACAATTGAGCAGTGAAGGTTTATGAAACGGGCTGAGTATTCCTTGTGCTTCTACTTGGAGTTAAAGAGAAAGGCCTAGGTTCACAAAGGGACTTCGATATTGGTACGCTCAACAACACACCACCTAAGTTTTGAGCGCCCCGCAATGGGAGCCACAAAGCCTGAGGTAGCTGTCTAGACTTGGTATACACAGCACGGGGAGAGAGAGGGACCACGGAATGGGATCTAGAAAAGCCACCATGCTAGGCAGGAAGCTGCCAAAGGAAGCTTGGGTCCTAAGTAGGGTGTCCTAATTCTTTCTGGAAGTTAAGTGCCTAAGTCTACGTTGCAAGGAAGCACTTACCTCTGCTTCACAGCCAGAAACCTTCTCCTGAAGTCAGGCAGCAAAGGCACCTTCATCATTTCTTGTTGGAATAACTTAGGCACCTCCCTCACTCCACAGAAAAGAGAATGAGGAGAAGGAGGTGCCTCCTATCTTGTAACTTTCAGCCCCATGGTCAGGAAACTCCCTTCTCCGCCCCCGGGATGTGAGAAACCCAGATTCAGTTTCTCCCAGTGGCTGAGTGGGAAAGAGACATTTTGACCATGACCTTTCCCTCATCTCCTCTAGGGAGCACTCTAACCAATATTCTGAGGTGAGGGCCCCCTTAGTACCTCCTGTTGACGCTC